CGCAATAACGGTAGTTGGAATGTTTGTAAGAGCGTGTACATATTAGTTAATAAATCGCTTTCACTTCCTAATTTGAAAATCGAAATTGTACACGAAGAGGATGGTTTTGATGAGCTATCTAAAAAGTTAGCTACGATACAGATCTGAAAGTAATTTTGTTGAATCAAAAAGGAAACGCAAGCATCATGAGCAAATGATTTCGATATTCTGTCTAAATTCTTTAGAATAAATCCTACTTTAAAAGAGAAATCTCACTCTCCTATCACTTTTGAACAGAACGGCAGAATTTCCACTCTTTTGGAGAGTGAGATTTATTCCAAAATATTTAGAGTTTATAGCAACCAACTTGAGCGTCTTATGTAATTATTTTCATGGTTGAAATCGAAATATCATTTCAAATCGATATTTAGCTCAGTTTTTAGAGATCTTAACAAAAATGTTAGTTCTTTTCTAATGCACTCTTTCTAACAGATTTTTCATTTATATACGTCGCATCGATTCTCTCCCGAGTGTCAACGAGGTACTAATTTTTTTGGACCGTCTTTGACAAAGAGAACTTTTCCTCGAGTTAATTAATCTTACGTGTCGCATCGCGTAAGTACACTAAAACGCGGCGCGAGAATTAATACAGTCTATGCCGTTGGCAGCTCTGCGTAACGAAGATCGTAAATTCTGTCCAACGCGTGCTCTGCAGACCGACGTATCATCTAGGATACGCACGATCATCCTTGCATAACGATTATGCGGCGTGACTCGCCTGCAGTCCCTTTAAAAAGGCGCTCTCGCGAAGCGTCAAACATTACGGCACTATACGTGGATGAGGTGTCAAGTGTATCGCGAGCGAGAATAACGCGCGATCGCTATAAATCGCTATTTCTCCCCCTCCCACCCTCCGTCGCAATTTGTCGGCCGCTTTCAAATCCCGCGAGAAATCCCGTAAAGCGACTTTCACGATCCACCATCTACGAGCAATCCGCGACATCTAACGCGGTATACTCCGCGTGTTTCCCGCGTGCATCCGTCACGCCGGTGAACGGCGGGCTCGTTCGTCGGATTTTTGTTTGTGCACCACTGCCTTTTTTCCCCACAATGTCGATTTACTTTTACCGCGTCACTTGTCGCTCTGACGTAAGTTACGTCGTAGCTGTGTTATGCTGTCACTTGAAAACCCAAATCGCGCAATGACCCTTCACTTTCACATACGACGTCCTTGGATCAATTAAAAAGAAACTCGAAATTTGTCTGACGGAAAGAATAATATATATCGATATTTGATATAGTTGCATATCGCGAATATTTCTTCACTGAGGAAAATATTTTGATTACATTAACGAGAAATATAAACAAAAATGTATTCCGAGATACTCAGAATTCTGCGTGGCTGAATTTATCTCGACTAGAAAATGTTTCGTAGATTGAACTACGTAAGAGAGAGTAATCTGATTTGTATCTTTCTGAAGGTTGATTGTATCTTGAATTGACATGAAAATTATAAAAGTGATTATAGTAAATTTGCTCACCTTTGTAATTTTCACCTCGTTTTAAGAAACACAATTGACACCCTGATTGAATCTATCAGACTTTCAATTTACGCAATCAAATTTTTTCTCGTATGTATAAATATATTATTAATATAATTGAATAAATATAATTCTTGTAGAAACAAAATGAGAATAAAAATAGAAGATGTATAATTCCAAGTTTAAGTTCCTTGTCAAATTTACTAAATTTTTTAAATTTCTATTGCAATGCGTCACAATGAATATTTTAAAGTAAAGTAACTTCAAATTTTTGCAACAAAGGCGAAAGTAAAAACACGCAGAGGCAAAATCAGCAGTTACCGAATCGTTTCAAACTTGAGAGCGACGCCGAAAGGAAACACAAACGAAGTGGTTCTTCGGGTTCTAATTTTCGACGAAAAGTCCAACATCGTGCCTGGACTTATCGCCTGGTATCGCCCGCGGCTGAGCAGTTTCGCGATGTCCGGGGCGAACTCTTTGGCAGAGGAGGGCAACGGACCGGTTGGTCCTCTCTCGTCGTCACATTCCCGAATATGGCAACGTGCATCCCGAAGTGCTGCGAACACGATGCACGTAATACTTACTCGACGCACAACGCACCGGAATATATTCGAAGTTACTTCGAAATCGTTATCCCGTGTGCGTCTTGTACCCGAACGCGATTACTATAAGTCTAAAAGCCATCTACGTCTAATAAAAATAAATTATTTGGCGAATGTTTCACCTTTCTTCGATTTTTCACTTACCTGGAATAAACTCTTGATTGTACAATAATCGATAGAAATAACTTGCGTTATTTTATCAATATTATTTTTATTCTCAGACGAAAAACAAACAAGAAATAATTGTTGCTTTAGTGAATTGTGCTCAGAAAATAAATTCTGAATTTGTCATAGAAATTTATAAAATCATGTCAACATAAAAAATGACGAAGGTAATTTATTGTTACAAACTTTTTCATAGTATATTAATATACATTTTAAGCTAAAATGATGCAATTAATTACAACCTCCTTTCATTCTAATAACAAATATTTTATTAAGTATAATAATACGATTAATGCTTTAACAATTGAAAATAATTACGAAAGAAGTCTAAAACATATATGGAAGAAATAAAATGTTTGCACATAAGTTTGGTAAGCCAAATGAAAAGCTTCAATTCTTCGTTTTTAGAAGAAATCTTCATTTATTGATTAAATGAGAATAATCAATGCTTTTAAGTTACTTGTGGATGTAATGTACTATTAAAATATTCACTTATAATGCCCGACATTATTATCGACAAAAACATTATAATCGGTAGACGTCAAAGGAAATTAAATAACATGACAAACTTACAAAAACGTGATAGCATTTCGGAATCGTTAATCAATATCACAAAATTAATAACTCTTAAAGTTTCAAGGTAACGCACCTTTATTTTGGACGCCATCTTCATTTAAATAGAACGAAGACAGATACAGCAAAATCGATCGTACCCGATCGGTGGCAGTGTGTCCGTATCAGTGGATAAATTCGCGATCGACATAATTACGTAGACGTAGAGTAAAATGACTAGACTACATATTGCGTTCTTGCATTAATGGATCGAGTAGAAGAATCTTTCTTCGAAGACATAAATTCAAACTTTCCATCAAAAGAGATCGTCGTAACGTTGTCCGAAAAAAAAAATATACGGCTATACAATAATCTGTAAACGAAAGAGAGAGATTTACTCTCTCCTTTGGTATCTCTCTTACTCAGTATTCATATTTGCGAAACACGGCACGAAAAGTGTTAAATAGTTCGAAACAACTTATACGCAGCGTCCACTTAGCATTCCGGACGCTCTTTACAGTCTAGAACTAATTTACAAAGAGTATATCGGCACGCAGGATTTACTTTGCTCCTCCATTGTTTTTCGATTTTTCTGATTCAAAATACATTTTTTAACGCGATAATGAGGAAAACGATAGGATCGGTTAGAGATCCCCAAGTAAGAAATTGAACACTGTTTTAATTATGGCAGACCAAACGTTTGCGAATAAAATACGTATTCATGCATTTCAGCTGCAAAAAGGAATATCTACGTTCAGCGAAAAAAACTTTGCAATTATTATAAGATTTTTCATTATGATCGATTCTTGTCACTAGCCTCATCTAAACGTATAAACTAATCATATTAAAGAATCTTACAGTTACTATTTTTTCAACTGAACGCAGCTATTCTATTTTGCATCTCATTCTATCTTATATATCTATTTTATTCTGTGTAAATAATATCCGATCTCTTACAAGGATCTCTATAAAACAGTCATCATCTAAGAATGTAATTTATAAAAAGATCATATTTTTTTACGATAAGCTTGTTGTTTCTCGATTCTTGTTGTTCCTCTCAATTGCTGGTTCCTAAGGGCATTCTTTAAAAGAATTCTTTGTAGCGAACCCAGGATTGGCAAAAACAAGATATCCCGTGTGACGATACATTCGATGTCTGGCACTCTTTCGAGATCCTGTCTTTTGGCGACACAGGAGTAAGTATATAAAGGCACAAAGGTCTCTCTGGCTGGCGTTACTCCCGACGACCGGTCGGTGCGATATCCGTTCGACGACCCACGCCGCCGTTCCTGAAGTGTCTCTTAACGAGTGTCGCTATCTAGGGACGACGCATCAAGTGCAGCAACTCCGGTGTATAGTTTTGGTCCTTTCCATCGCTCGCACACGCGCTGCTGTGCGTCTCTGTCTTTTCGTTTGCGGGCCACCGGTTGAGTCCACCCGGCTGCGACCGGGGGACTGGAACCGGTATGCAATTTCGACGAGTTCAGTTCCCCGTGCTGCAAGACATGGCCAAATGCAGCTTTCGCGCTTACGTCTACAAGTGAGGAGAAAGTGGAAATATGAGATAACATGGGAACCTAACGAGAAACGTGATCTTCCCTCTATCAGAAAAATATGACACGGATGCGTTCAAGATATCGTCTGTACAGTTTGTGTTCATGATATTCATACCATACTGGAATGCGTATAAATCTTAAAATATATAACGAATATAACGCGTAAAGAGAGAGCTAAATTTTATGAAGTCAAAAACACATCATTGACTTTCCTATATTTCGTCTTTCCTAAATTTGTGCTTGCAGCATCGAGATCGTTGAACTCGCCGAAACTACGTTGGATTCTAGAGGATGACTAGCGAAAGCGTATATCTTTCTCTCTCTTTCTCTCTCTCTCTCTCTTTCTCTCTCTTTCTCACCACAAATTGTGATCTCCATGAAAGCGACTTCGCGCGACTATCGCTGTCGCATCGCTTCGAGTTCAACGAGCAACAATCGGCGGAAGGGAAAAACGCGTCTCTTCGCGAGACCAGACCCGCGGATCCTCGGGGAAGATCCATCAGCTAGTCTTCTCGGGCCCCGGCTGCGATCGCACGTCCCGCGTCGTCCCCGGACGCGACGACGATCGCGCGATGCAGATGAGCGAGGACAGAACTGCGGCAGCGGCAGCGGCGAATTGAACGTACCGTCCCTCCGAGGCAACCTGCAACAATAATCATCCGACTCATGGTGCGCATGAAGCGATTGCGTAGATTGCATTGGACACGGTCAATTGATCTATGGACATCGCGCCGGGACACGCGTCTCTACGCTGCTTAGTTATGGCAGGTGAAATCATAAGCGCGCACGTGCCTGACTCGCATAGATCGTTCGAGATACTTGCCGTTACGTTGCTAAACAATACTGATGGCGCGCTTCTTTCAAAGTGAAATTACTTCGGATTTGAAAACAGTGTATGAATTACTTTTTAGAATTCCATTAGAACTGTCTTATAAGATTATCTATGAATTGAAGTGACTTGCAAACTAAATGCATATACGAAAAAAAAATTATATTGTATTAACGGGGTCACTGACAGCAGTCCTCTTACAAAATTTTAGAATTTTTCGGAATGTGTAACTTTATGACTTTTAAAAAAATTTCTCAGATTTCCTTTATACTTAAAAAAAACGAACCGTCGATATTTGAAAGATTTTTCTTACTTTTTTTAAATATAAAAAAGTCTGTGTAATATTTTATAATTTTCTATTATAATTCTCATGAATGGAGAGAATAAATGCTAAAAAAAATTTATAGTTTGGGATGCCTATATATCTTTTTTTTACATAGCATAAACATAAATATTATGACTAACATTTTATACCAGTTATAACTATAAAACGGAGTTACTAATCATATTTTACTATGCAGTGATAGTCAGAAATACCAAATATCTTTCTTTCAGTGAAAGATTTTATTTCCTAAGTCTTAAAAAAATTATGTATTTATCTTTGTGAAACACTGATAAGAATATGCATTTGTACTTGTACTTTCTGTACGAAGCATAAACATTTTTACGAGTATAACATCGATCACGTTGTAATATCACGATGCAGATAATATACAAATGCTATCCAGCACGTACAAGTATATCACGTAGGCGATCGGCGGATGTACGCCGACGATCCCTCAAGAATTCAATACGTTTCTGAATGCCAGTGTCATAAAGAGCAAAGTTATTCAACGGACACCTACGCGTAGCACGAACGAGAACAAGGGAAGACGCGCTCACCTCGATCAGGCTTCTTGAAGCTCGCCCTTCATTCCCGGTACGCCGTGGTGATGCCTCGAGGCGAGTTTGTTCGCCAATTCGTGCATCACGTCTCTGTATATCACGGTGTCCAAATTCTCGCCCAGCATGTAGAGAAGAAACCAATCACCAACCTTACTGCGACGCACTATGGTCTCTACGGCGTCCCTTCGTACCAAACGAAATCTCATTCGCAACAGGTAGACCCTCGTGCGTGGCGAAAATATTATTAGGATCTGCGGGGAGAAACAAATTATGTTGCAAGAAAAACAAGAATTAAGTAATAATAAAAAATGACATCAGAAATAACACAACTAAAGTGTTTAATAATATTTCAGTTTGAATTTAGATGCATATCCAGTAACGTGTTCTGTAAACTGTGTGTCGATTTAACTTTTGATCTTAAACGTCATCTGAAACTAGGATAACAATTTCTCAAATTAAATTATAATAAGCAATTTAATTATATCGATGCTAATGAACATCTTAGAAGTTGTAACGAACTTATTGCTTAAGAAGAGTTAAGCTTATTATTTGCACTTAAAAATTTGGAAATTTAAGTAAAAGACACCGATTGAAGCAAAACAATTGTGTTGTTTCTATATCGCAGATATTATTTAGAAAATACAAGGAGTCCTTTTTCCGGGATTACTGACCCTATATAAAACCGTAAAGAAACTGAGCACGCCGAGGAAAAGGAACCAGAACCACAGAAAGACATAGATCTTCTCGTTCACGACATTCAGGGGCAGTATACAGACGGCGTCATGTCTCTCGACTTCTCCGCTGACGCCGTACTTGTAGAAGGTGCATTTGGTCATTCGTGGAAAGACATAAATCATAGGGTCTACTCGGTCTTCTTGATCGGACTCGAGGAACCTAAGTACGTCGATGCCAAAGGTCAAGAAGGCGCCATCGAAGAAACGGTTCATCAGAAACATCTGACCTGCGACAATGTGCTCGTTGCTTTACAATTCTCCGTCATTTCTATTATTGTATTTCTATTTGCCTTTCTCTCAAAGCAGTTTCAACAACTGCTTATAATGTATACAAGGTGTTTCGGAAACCGGGATACAACCGAGAAGTCGATTTTACATGAAAAAGTAAATCGAAAGTATAGAATAAAATATTTTTTTAAATGAGAGGCTTTGTTTTCGCAAAAGTCGTCTTTAAACTAAAAAACTGAACAGATCTCATTGTTTTAATTAAATAGACTACTATTCCTGCTTATTTTGTATTGATTGAATTAAGTAATCGAGAATATACAGCAAAACAAGATATTCACGCATGACGAATTTTATTATTTTACAAATGTTGGAAATGATTGTATGAAAAAATTATTTTACATTTTTAGCTTATTTTGTATGTATAGAATTATTTCCTTTTCAGTTGTATCATGATTTCTGGAATACTGTATAATAAAAATTAAAAGCACAATTAATCTCTATGTTTTTTTAATATTTCTGCAACAGTATTTTTTTAAAATCATAAAAAATTTATTTTAACATTATTAAATATATGTATATTAAATCTTATAACATATAAATTTATACCAATCTCAGCCTTGAGAATAATATTTGTATAGTTCTTTTAGAACAATTTTGTATCTGAATGAAATATTGAATAATAACTTCGTATTTAATCAAACAATTATACGATACATACATTTTTATAGCTTTCGTAGTTGATTGATTTATACGTGTTGAATGATTATATTCCTGCATACGTTTATACAGTCATATCACATTTTAATCGGAACGCAATAGACATAAAAGATAAAATTGACGAGCTATCTCAAAGTCAAATCGGAGAGTTCGCAAGCGGTTGGCCAGCTGTATCGCTGCCAACTTTTACCGTGAATCATTCATTCATTCACCGCTCATTATACAGCCTTCCTTTTTCTTACATACGTTTGTAAAATTAACGCGAGCTAATTTAGAGATAGTTCGTTGAATTCCATCGTCTTTGACACAACCTTTCTGCGAAAACGATTACATATTATTGTGACGTGTATTGAAAATCTGTAACGTACACTAAAAGAAAATTACTAAATCTTAATACATATTTCTTTGAATAGTTTTAGATAAGTAACTATATATAAACGTTTATTTAGGTAGAGAAATGTACAGAAGATATATTATATTCTACAAGTAAAATATCTAAGCCTCTGCAGTTGTTGCATAAATTACGTTGATGCATAAATTATTCATAATGTAGTAAGATACAATTCGTAACTAACTGGGATGTACTTATTTACCGAACAAAGTTAAGATAAATGCAAATGTTCCACAACTCTAAATTTGAGTCCTCTTCAACGCAGAAATACAAACAGGTACAAAGTTTGTACCGCGATAACAAATTAAATATTTGTCTAATTATTCTCAGCTATATATTAATATTCAAACTATATTATAAAAATTGTTGAAGCATCAAGAGATATTCACGTTTATCAATATTAAATTTTAAAGGACCGTCAATGTAACAACATAATGTTTATCACTTTCTCTGTCTCTCTCAATCTTGATTTCTATTATACTTCAATCACAGAATGTGTGTAAACAGTATATATACGTCCGTATAAATGTTTAAACGGGACATAAAAATTATACTTTTCCATTCTAGACTTGAAACGTTTGTGTTATTTTAACTTTGTTTGTAAGTACATCTCAATTAAAATACATAATTTACACATTAATAACCGCTCACAGTATTTTATTTGTATTGGATTTATTCTTGGAATCACAAATATTATTATTTTATTTTATTTTAATATATTTTTTAAACATATATATATAGTATTTAACATAAAGTAACAGCGAAAAGCCGTCAATTGTTCTTTAAAATGCTACTTCTTAATCTTAGCTATATGCGAACATATGCATCTTCAACAGCGAAAGGGAAACGCTTTAAATACCATTCTCAAGTGCATAACTGGTTTATGTTTATCGATCGTAAGCGGAAGATACGCAGTGACGTTCGCCTAACGGGTCTGCGAATTCCGGAATTTGTTCGTGTTACGACATCGCGATGAGGACGTGCGTTGATCGAGAAGCTCAAACATTGACAAAGGATTTCGGCGCGGGCCGAAATAAAAAAAAAAAAATGAGATGTGTGGGCTACTCACCGATCACATTTAGGAGCGCGAGGACCTCGCATAGGTAGTACCTGTAAGCCCACCAATTGTGAAAGCGAAGGTTCTCCCAGAGGTAGTCGAGCAGCATTTTCTTCTTTTGCTTTTTCTCCACCTCGGAGCAGAGCCCGATGTCGAGATCCATCATAAGGGCATGAATCTTGCCACCCTCCCAGCCCTTCCAGAGCCAGCGCGGGGTGTAGAAGAGGATCGCCTGCGAGCAAAGTGCCGAGTGAATAAATACCGACGAATCAGCCAATCGCTGATATATTACGAGGAGTTCCGTAGGAGGCGGACCTACTTATGTACACACTAGCCAAACAGTTACGGTACGTGCAAAAAGAGTTATCATTATTATACCTTGCGCCCGATAACTGCTGATTAAAACAATACGAGTACCACTCATACACGAGCGAAATTCCATTTTACTCTTAGCGTAAAAACTGCTAACCGCGCCTTCTTTCGAGATGCGGAAAGTATCTCGCGAGCTTAATTATTTCATACCGCCGCCGTTTATCACGCTCGAGTGTCGATGTTCTACGAATTAAGTTGCATATTGGCTATTACTCATAACATGTAACTGCGCTGTAATGAATTAACGGCAAAATTAAATCTACGGTTAATTAACCTTTAGTGAGCGGGGGTATATATTTTTTTTATCTTACAGTTTTCCTTAAGATATTTCTTATACGTTACGTCGATGTACTCCTCGCTTCAAAATACGACAGTTTTACGCCACAATATAGTGGCCGTCTTATAAAAGTTAACTTTCCAGTTCGTTGTTTCACTGGAATGGTCATTTTAACAGCTTGACATCGCTCTTATTTTTGTGTAATTCAGTTATATATAAATTACATTAATTAAGAATTACCATTTAACGATAACACTTATTAAGTACAAGTTGCACAACATATACGGACTGCCGGAAGATTCAAGTCGAATCCATTATCAAGTCTTATCTCGCAACCTCTATCGTAATGTTTTATTAATTCCCTATAATATTATTATTCGATAGTATCTTAGAATACTAAAATAGAATAGATACTATCTTAGAGATGAATGGAAGAGGTGTAAGTATAGTCATGCTTGGAGCGATAATCTGAGCTAATTGAATCGAGACAACCTTATCTCACATTAGAATTTCCGAAGCGATGTCAATGCACTTATCGAGACCACGATGTGGGAGTAAACCCTTTCTCACGGTATATAAAGCTTTCTGGCTTATCGCCAGGGGCCTCGGGTCGTGCTTGCCGTAGTACACGATCGAATATAGATACGTACGCTCGTCGCGCGTTACCCTCTTACGTCTTGGCGTGTGTTCAGAAAATTTGAGCTAAATTGCAATTTACGGAAGGCTCGGATGATTGTTAATGAAAGTACGTGCTTAAGACGTGCGTCGAAACTTAATGGGTTTCCCAAAACGTATGCTTTTATCCAACGAGTCACATTGTTTCTAAGAAACCCAGAAACGACTTATTATTTTGGCTTTGGGACAAACACGCGAGATGACGGTGAAATCTTAATGCGAAGAACATGTACAATAATAATCCTGTAATACACAGATATCGCGCCAATTTTATATAAATTCTTCACAAAATCCGTTGAAGATACGACTCCATAAAATCTTCGTGTGAAGTAAATTGTTTTAGAACTCTTCAAACGCTAAGCTTCGAAATAAATACTTTAATAATTAACGTATAAGTGTTTATATATAATATATAAACCGAAAAAATTGCAGCAACTAAAATTGGCGGTAAATTGAACTTTTTATACTCCTTAAAAATATTACATACAGACGGTGTATAAATGTAATGGACGTTACGTAACTCATTTAATGGCCTCGGCATACATGGTTTACATATCTGCGACAGGATTCTTCAAACAGGGTGGTCTGACCTCGCTCTTGACAAGAATTATGAAGAAACGTAAAATAAACGCGCATGTCAGACCGATTGTACGATTTGCAGCTTTTAGCATTATCGCGAGAGAACGCCTGCGTTGTAAAGAGAAAAGGAAAATGCGTGACCGAAAATAGATCTGTGTCCCTCTCTTCTTCTCTCTTCCCTTGCCAACCAGGATCGAGAGCGCGATCATATTTGCTGCCCTGCTGAAAGGACATTTATATCTCTCTTTCAATGTGTGCGTGTTTGAACTTGTAGACGAGCAGAAATTCCTTTAGATATGCAAATAGGTTCGAACATTTACTGTTTGCTCTTTAGATAATAAGGAATAAAATTAAGTGACATAATTAATTTTACACTCCGCAGGTCTTTAATAAATCATACAATATATTATAATATTATACATGTATTATAAAAAAAAAAAACAAGTAAATTAAACTTTAACTTGAAAGCGTATTCTGTAAGATATATTCTTTGTTTTTTTCGCGTGAAATTGATCTTGCAGAGTGATAAAAAGGGTTGTTATAAAGATACTTTTCTAAGCACCTTCTTATACAATGAAAGTTTAATAACTGTAATTTATAATTAAAACGTAAAGTAAAATTGGACGAAATAGATTCTAATCTAATCAATCTTATATACAATTTCACATCTGGTACAACCGAAGAGAGAGTGATTTTACATTAAAAATGAGTCGAAAATATAGAATAAAAATTTTCACACGAGGCTCTCATGTTTTTGAGAAAATTGACTTTAAATATTCATTGCGGGTACGAAAAGAAGGAACCGCATACATGTTTCGCCACGATCCCCGGCCGATGCGTAGCATCTATGTGTCACGTTGTTAGCCCCGAATAAATTTAGCTAAACAAGGCGAAAGAGCTTGTAGCTTTAAGAAAAGCGAGACGAAGAAGGAAGAAGAGCGGACAAAGAAGTGTACTTTTAACACGTGCAAAAATAAACCTAAGATAAAATGTAGCTAATTTTGAATCTCTGTTAAATATAAATATTTTTATTTACGCGTATTTATAAATACAAAAAAAATTCTTAGAAAAAATTATTTTATTAAATGATAATTCAGTAAATTTACGTTCTTATTAAGATACATTTGTATATTATATACTCATTGTTTATTTAGTTATTATCAAAAATAATATAAAAACTGTCTTTACAAACGCGCGAATAGTTTTCAAAGACTGTTTCCTACGTTACATTTTCAATTTTGTTAAACGTTAATCATATTAGTAATGCGTTTTGTCAATTTATTAGCGATATGCGACGTTATACATGTTTTGTGTCAAACGTTGTCTAGAAAACACATTAGATACGCAGCAATCAATTGCAAAATAAAAGGCGGATGCACGATTAATCAAAGAGCGAGAGAGTTGTAGGAACATTGGACGTATAAATAGAGGATAGTAACTTGAGAAAAAGAACGACATTGTACGTGCGCGAAGACGAGTAATGCTTGAAGTATGGGAGGCGGAGGTACGATCAAAGATAGCATCGAAGGTACATATGCATTTTAAAGGCAGAACTATCTGTAACCTGTATTTATGTATTGACGTTATGAACAAGGATTATCAATCACGGATAAACGAATATACGCACATTTGCGATCGTATATTGTATCGACATACTGATTCAGAACCAGCAATTTCTGAACTTAATTTAGATATAAGCATTTAATCGCTTTCGTATGTTTCGTTATCTGTAATATAAATAACTTTTCGCTTTTTCACTTAAAATTAAAGAATCGAAGGTTTACGTTTACAATTGATATAGAAAATACCGTATCTCGTAAGAAAAATAATATTCTACACATAAAGATACATGAAAAATGTTTATATTCTTAAATTATTGATATACTTACTGTATATAGAGACGAGTATAATTATAAAGTAAAATATAGTAAAATAATTAAATAAAACGCGTAATAAAGGTGCAGATAATATAAAAATAGAATAATAAAAAAAAGATTTCAAAAAATGTGTGTACGTGGGGAAACAAAAGATCGACAAAAATGCGAAAAAAGAGACCGTCGCTTCTTACTTGCAGTAGCAAGAAGAAGATAACCCACTGATAGTATTTGTGCTGCTTGACCAACGGGTGGGGTGCGTGGCCGTGCCCCCCTTCGCCCTTGGTGTTTGACACCCCAGGGTAAGGCACGGCCTGACCGATGCTCATGTTGAACGCCCGCACCATGCTGTAGGTGGTGTGAAGCCAGCAGAAGGTCTCCAGCACGGCCTTGTCCACGGCCGTGGTGGCTTCGCAGTGTATCGGCGAGCCGGAGATACTTTTGCAAGCGAGGGTGAGGCAACCGGCTAGCAGCACTGCCACCGTCGCACGATAATGCAATCGAAATATCATCGAGTCTTCGGCGTACCTGTGTACCTTGAAGAGCGATCGAATCGAGCCGAACAGATCGATCATTTTGAGCATTAGCGGCATGTTAAATAAACGGATACCGGGGAGTGACTTTGCTTCGAGTCGCTGGGCAATCTTTCTCGCGATGCCACCACGTCCTTCGTCCTCCTCGTTTTCTTCTACCAGCGATCTGTCTCTATTTTTACACTTTCAATTAGTCCCTCGATCCTACTGGAAATCCTTTGAACGAACTGCACGATGAATACGAAATTCAATTGCTTTTAGACCAGTATTTTCTTTCGTAGGTATTTAAATACTTTGAGATATTGAATGAAAGTATAAATTTTGCATGGATTTATCACTTTCCTGTTGTTGATTTTTATTTTGTTTAAAAATTGATTTGTTGGACGTAAACTTCCGTTTTAAACGTCAAAAATAGATAACGAATAATCCTCGGTAGAGTACAATTACAGTCGTAAAAGTGGACCACCCACGTTCTCTTCGTACCATTTATAGTCTTGAGATTGAACCTAAGGTGGAGTGTATACATTTTGTGGACGTAAACCGTCGTAAAAGTTACGTGGAACTACTGTTTGCTTTTCTAACTTCCCTTTAATTTACTTTGCTCCCTTCATTTATTCTTGTCACTTTACTCCCCTCTCATCTGTTATTTGTCTTTCATTTTTGGTGCAATGTAAAACTCTCTACGAGGTTTAGCACTGATTCTCCCTCGTATGCAAAATGTTGATTTCTTCCCTTTTTCGCAATCATATCAATGAAAAGAATTGATACAATTATCTTTGCTTTCATATGTCTATAAGTCCTATTTTTTAAAATACCATAACACAAAGTCACGACACACGCACGAACACTATTTATTCATGGTTTCAATCAACAATTTTTTTAACAAAGGACTGTCTTTATATCTCTCGTACATCCTACTATTCGTACACTGTTCTTTCTCATCTCTGAGTAGTTGACACATCAATGCACAATCCTATCCACTTCGTGAATTGGAGTTAATTCAAAGTTTTGGCGGGACAGAACAATTGCGAAGGAAACATTAAAGACGATAAATAGACTTAGAAAAGAAACACGCACGTGAGTCTCGAGTACAAGCTGTCAGAAGACTGGCCGGACTTGAGAGGCATCCCTTGACCTCGATACTAAACGTACATAACTGATATTATCTTGCAAACGTCAGCATGATCAACTAAAAGCTGATCGACGAAACATCAATCTGTATTATTCGTAATCTGATATAGTGTTACACCACCGGCTGATATGATATATAAATATAGTTTCACCGAAAAAATATAACAATAGATGACTTTCGATTTTGTCACTTTGTTGTAAAATTTGAAACGGGAGCCAATGAGGTCTAATATTATAACAAGGTTCTATGTATCCAAGGTTATACGTATCCGAAATCACCTATGACAGAATTATGAATATTAATGGAGCTTATAGTAACGCGTCATCGGTATATATTACACCCATGACGTCAAAATTAAGACGGTAGAAAATCTTGATGTACTGCATAGGGTATCTACATTGATTGACATTGTAAACGTTTATCATGGAAGATGGACATTTGACTAGAATTTTACGCCCGTATCATTGAATTTGTACAATAACGGATCAGGGGAGGAATATATTTTTGTCCAAGGCCAAGAAAAAATTTCCAAGTAAAACAATTAATACTAATAGCACTAATAAGACGGTAGAAAATCTTGATGTACTGCATAGGGTATTTACATTGATTGACATTGTAAACGTTTATCATGGAAGATGGACATTTGACTAGAATTTTACGCCCGTATCATTGAATTTGTACAATAACGGATCAGGGGAGGAATATATTTTTGTCCAAGGCCAAGAAAAAATTTCCAAGTAAAACAATTAATACTAATAGCACTGTGTGAGACGCTCCTTTTATTTTTCCTTCGTTAGGTTACATGACACGACGTGTTACGTTTTACTGTAAGTATAGAATTCCTATAAGCTCATCGTTCTAATTGTATCGCGAACGGGAAGTATAATGCGGTTCGACGATCTCCATCATTGAAAACATGCTTAATCGACCGTGTTACGAGTGCGGCGTGCACATATTCTGGGCAACGAAATTAAGCGCACCATTACTATACGCGTAAAAGAACATACCGACGGACCAAAATGAACGCTTATGAAGCCGTATTTCTCGTCACCTTTTTACCTCCCTCTTCCACTAGAAAAAATAGGAAGCGAACAAAAGCCGACAAAGTCAAGATAAGATAACCGTGCTCTGATTAAGAACCGGGATTAATATGTCGATGGGGCGCTCGTTAAGCGGCTGAAACACCCTTTTTTCATCGGTTGTTTCAGCCGCTATAGATTTCAAATAATCTTGCAGTCATTAACGATTATCCAAAGCGGCGAGACTGAAGAGAGAACGTTGTTTTTCTATTTCTAGTATTTCCAATCAGAAAGATCTATACTCATTCCTTTGTGTAATTTATCTCTGACGTTTTTAATATAATTTTAAAGAATCTTCTTTAATAAATAAAGATTAGCTAATTTCGAAAAGTTAAATAACATGATTTATACATTACGTGATTTAAACCGCAAAGGGCGAACAAAAACAAGCGGGAAAGAATTCATTGTGCAGCAAACGATGAAATTAGCTCAACGATAATTATAGAAATGCGTGAGGAGATACATAAATCAACGAAAGGGAATACATCAGTAAAAAAGCGGCGACTACTCGCTGTAAACTGTATAGTTTGCTTTGAGACGCCGGACGAAAAAACACTGCGAAGGGAGACGAGGAAATAGAAAGAGAACCTTCGTAGAGGGATAGGCTGTCATCGACTGAGTTTATTTTGAGACATCAATGCGAGTAGCATGAAAGAAACGCGCGAGAACACAAGGAAAAATACTATATGGATCGCTATTTCAGGTGTTCGCGCCACGCCATTAACCCGTTTCATCTAAACCTTCGATCACGATCTTCCTATTTCTTTCAAGCTAGCTGAAATAATCAGCCGCGATAGGCGACAGCAAGTGTTTGACACTCAATTTCGCATTAAAAACGTTTCTCCTGTTTTAACAGCGCGCAATATTGTCGTGTTATGCGCGGTGATAATCGTATTTCTTTCAAATAATTCACATTCATTTGATATTATTATCTCGTAGCAAAGCTCATTTACCTCTCTATTATATCTCCAAATAATCTTAATAATCCTATATGTTACGTAAGTTACGTTATTTAAAATGCAGAACGTGTAATGTACCTACTGAAAAAAATCACGTAATAATAATAAAGCTTGGTTACTAAAAAAATATTTATTAAATAATGCACCAATATGGTAAACAAAATACATTTGATAATTATTAGACTCTTTTTTTTTTTTAATGATGCGCGTGACGCGATTCAACTTTTTAGGGCAGAAAGGGGTAAAGCAGCGCGTGATCGTCCGAGCATTTGTGGTGATAATCATCTTTATTTCGAATAAGACGATCACGCACAAGCAGCTCTCAATGACGAAGTTTAGTGCATTGTTATACTTAAGGTTTCTTTCTTGGCAATGGACTAGATGATAGGCCTTCGCGAGCAACATGCAGGTCGCTCGAGCCCGAGCAGAAAGATTGATGGATGAGTAACGCTTATAGGAGTGCAACGTTAAAAGCACCGGTACGTTTTATGGCCCGTATGCAAACCACACATTCAACGCTAAACGTGCTTGATGTTTCACTTGTCTAATCGACGCGACGGTGCGCGTTCATGAAAGGCGTGAGTTAGGACCGAGCTATTACATTTGGCGTTAAATGGACGCATATAAATTTTGATGGAATCTTCGAATTACATTATATTCCGCGTAGCGCGGCCAATTTTACGTGCAGGCAATGTTTCGATATCCGCACTTGCAAAAACAGTTACAGTTTATATCATATATTAGTCACACTTTCGCAATAGACGCTTTGTTATTATTATTCGGCTACCCAAAATGTTATTTGTTAATATTATCATTCAGTCGCGCTAAAATATTTTACTTGTTTTTTTTTTTCCATTAATCGCAATCATCTAAAATATTATTTGTTAATATTATTCGCATTCACATACATTTACACACAAATGCAATTCTGTGCTTTATCGCTTAAATTTCTGTGCTCTGCTAAATCAAATCGGTACATCTCAATTTATCGAATGCAAGAGGTCGGGAACACTTTCTTTCGTGCAAAAAAGAATGATTACCTGCAGGAACAGCATGAAGCACACCCACTGGTAGTACTTGTACTCCTTTCGCTCGGATTCGGGATACGATTTGGAATTGTCGACGCCGGGAAAGGGTACCTCCAAACCCTCTCTCTTCCGGTACGCCGCGGTGATCGTGTAGGTGCTGTGTATCCAGCAGTAAGTGTTTAAAACGTCCTCGGGCAGGTCCTTGCTGTGTATACAGTCGATAGGATTGCCGACGTACTGGCGGGTAGTGACAATCAGAGAGAACGCAATCAGCAGGATCACAGTCAGGCTGTAATGCAAGCGGAAAACGGCGCTGTCGATATGGATGTGCGAGATTTTTATGAGACTCTTCAGGCCGCGAAATATGTCCAGCATCTTGGTACCAGAACGATACTAGAGTAAGAGATCGGAGGGCCACGGATTCTGGGGGATACCCCGGAATAACGTCCGCAGGACGTGCCAAGTCCTTTCACGTCGCTTTACCGCGTTTCTTTGTCTACATTTTTCACTGTTCCCGATTTCGAGGCCATTTTTCAGCCGCGTCGAAGTCCGACTTCTCGTCCACTTTTTCACTTTCGAGCACGACACGAGTTCATAACTTGAAGGGAAAATACCGAAAATGGATCTTACAAAAAAATGTTAACTGTATACATTTTCTTTTATTTATGGTCCGTATTTTTCAACTTCCGTAAAACTTTTCGAAAAGAGATCTATTTCACTTAATCACTTACTTCATTTTCTTCAATTGTTATCCTTGCAGTTTTTTCTTTTTTGCTTTTTAAGAAAATATCTTTCTTCGATCGTCAAAAATATATGTGTTGTTTTTTTAATAATTATTTTGACTAAAAAATCTTGGTAAATCTATATATGTACCTTTGGTCGATTCCTTGATTGAAAACTGTGTGAAATACTTCTTACGGTTTATACATTACTTTAAATCTTATTCTTACTACTATAAATACTGTCTTCTTAAGTAGCGATTATTGTTCCGTCTTTGGCATTTAATCTTCCGCAACAGTCTCACATTTCTCGCCAAAGAAACGTGGTACAATCCTCTCGCGGTGCGCTCTGTACGTTTCCTCTTTCTTCAGATTTACTCCGCGTTATTCGACGAATGAACGTTTTCTTCGGAAAAGTTTGCCACTTGATGGACGATCCCTCGATCGCCGAGTCGCGTTGCGATCGACGTTGACGGGACTTTGAATAATCCGCTGTTCCAACGGCAGTAGTCCTCCCGCGCATTCTTCTCGTATTCCTATTCACGTTCGTATCGCAATTTCTAATCTCGGCTGTTCGAAATACACAAATATTCGAGTGACACTGTCGGTTTCGGTGACACGCGCAGATTCGTCGATCTCACGCATCTCCGTGAGCTTTCGTTTCGAAGAACAAGCCAGCGGGGATGCTCTCAAAATATCTTATCTCACGACTTCCCTCGGGTATTCTAAACAGAAGAGAGTTTCATTCAAATTCTCACTTTACTCGGGAAAGAAAGATTTCACTGAAGCGTCTAAAAATTTAGCCAGACATAAACAAAAAAATGATTCTGTTATTAGACAAAATATTGGACAAAATAATCATGTAGGACGCTCAAACTGATTGCTGAAGTAAGAAAATTGTTTGCAGCACCGTTCATTATACCCGAGTCTCCCGCAGGTATTTTTTGACGATAAAATTAGTTTCGGGTTTGGGTCTAGTTAAATTTTATTAGATGTTTCGAGCAAAACTCGTTTTTTCCGTGTACATTTCTGTGGTCATTCGCGCGAGTAAATTACAAAACAACCGCAACCTTACAAGATTGCACGCTTTGAAATGTTTACAGAAGTCCTTCGCGCGTTACCAAAATTTGCACCGCGATATTCTCGGAAAGTGTCCGTGAAAGAGCGAAAAATCTTTACGGTGCACCTCGTTCGCGCGGTTTCACATGTTTCGTCTCTCGTCTTTATGCTTTGATGCCGCGATAAAGTCACCATAAATTCCTCGCCGTTCCTTTTCCCCCTTTTTTATTTTTTATTTTTTGAGAGTGTCAAGAAAAGGGAGCACGGATATGATTAGTTTTATCGAAAGCCTTCTCATCGTCCAATTCGGACACATCTTTCTTCGTAAAGTGAAGAGAGAACGGATAGTGACGCGTCTTGGAAAATTTCGGAGAAAACGCACGAAAATATCCGCTCGCGACTCATCGTGCTGATACACGTTTTTTGCTCCTTTTAGAAACCTAATTATGATGATTATACCAAAGCATACAGTGCTATAAAAATAGAGAAATTGTCAGTATTAAGGAAAGACTTGCTAACGTTTTTATTATTAAGATCCTTTCTCTAGCAAAAAACTATTAAAAGTAATTAAAACGAGAATATTGCTGGTTTCTGCACACATTTAAGAATAACACATCAAATGTTTATTAAATGTAATTAAATTAAATTGAATATTACGAGAAGAACATATATATATTATAAAAATGAAGAGTGCTTTTCAGTGATAAAGAAGGATCTTCGACGTTTATCGTTAAATCTTTTCTCTTACAAAAATTATTAAGACATACATACAATAAAAATTTTCTAAACTTTTACGTACATTTCCAATTATTTATTATTTAAAAAGGGCTTTCGAAATTAACCCGACAAAAAGATTGGTTTGTCTTCCGTTCACGCTTTGCAGAGAATGATTCAATTTAAATCACACGGGGAAAAGATCCGATTACGCGTTCACCGTAAAAGCCGGATTAATTCTGCCCGAATTCAGGAATAAATTCTCATACGTCCGAGCGAGTTCGCGTTATTTCCGATTTATTTCCGAATGATTTCAAGATCAAGTACAAGCCGGCCATCGGACTATTTTCAAGGTAAAGGTATCGCGATATGAAATCCCGTATTCGCTCATGGACTGGCCAAATTATCGCGCGTGCTTACTCAAGACGACCGTAAGCTAGAACCTACGGGCTTTATATTCGCGAAATTTAAGTAATTTTATCGGCGGAGAAATACTGTTATGTGCACTCGACGGCTGCGGTGGTTCTTTGTCGATGTTATACGAAAGTACAAGGGTTTCCTTCGACTCGGTGAAGTTGTGTTGTTGGGTCCGTGCCAAGATAGGATGCGCTCGCCGTAACCATTTTAGAGTTGAAACGTTTTTGGGAAAATAAAACAATTTTACACTTGTTTCCGCGCTTGCGGACGGTCTGTCGATGTTTTAACGGGGGCAAGCCCGTCGAAATGGAAATGAGAAACGTTGAAACGTGCCAAAGTTATCGAACACGCTTCGAAACATAAAGAAACAGTCTACATATTGGACATTAACGTGATCCTTTTTTTTTTTTTTTAAGGCTAAATGTAAATTCCGAATAACCCTGGTGGTTCTTCTCGCGTGCATGTCATCGCGGTAAGCGCGCTATATAAATCTTGCGGAGAAAAATGTACGGAAATCAAGATAAACTTCACACACACCTATTAATATCCGCAAAAATCTCAAGTGTTAAAATCCTACGACGCGCGACGTATCGAATAAGCTATTCATTGCGACTTGCAATGCGATACATGAACACGTTCTCATTAATCAAGTTAAGCGTTACACATATATAATCTTAATTTACATATATAATTATCTCTCCATATTTTCAGTTAGGATAGGACGAACGTATATAAGAACCGATATCAATTTATGCAATTCTCCGTCCTGCCAATTAGACACCAATTTCCTGCTAATCTCTGCGCACAGCGATCGCTGAGCGCAGATAAAGTTGATTCTTGAATATTAGCGTCGTCCTTCCTTCCCTCTCCCTCCACATCTCCACCTCAAAGCGCGGATATCCGCGGTCCCATCTTTCTTATTTGACTTAACGCGGAGGATGAGCAACGTACGCGCCGCGTAAATACGACGCGAACGTATAGTCGGGAGAAACTTTTTCCAGATGCGGCTGAGCGATAGGGAGTATCGCGGGATGATAAGTGAGACAAGTGGTACCGGCGGATACACAACGAGCACGCGGGGATTGCGAAGTCTCGGCGAAATGCTCGAGGGGGCCCCCGCTTTATTTATAACCGGCCCGATGGGGTCTCTCTCTCTCTCTCGTAATTTCTCCCCCCCTCCCCCCCCTTTCCTCCCCTCCCCACGTTCGAGTCCCATTAATGCCACGAGCCGGCGGGCTCGGGTAAGCGAAACGATCGAAAACTCCGCGGCAATTAACGCACCGGCCACTTCAAAGGCACATCCGCTTTGATACGACCCCTTATCCCACCACCTCACCCTTACCCCCTTTTTTACGCCTCCGTATACATGGCGCGTTACAACGTCAGCCTCGCCGGGCGTACCTCGTACCGCCGAAAATGAGCCGGGCTATAGGCAAGAAATTAAGAGGCCCGTAATGCTGTTTGACGTGCGCGCGCTATTCTATTTTAGCGTTTACGCATGCGACTGCACTTCTCGCCGCCACGAGCGAAACCGCCCGGCAGTAAACGGAGCGGATAAGCGCTCTCCTCAGAAATACCTGAGGGCAAAACGAAGCGAGGTGCGACCACGGATTTCCTCGCCTCTATCGCTTTTAGGATGGATTCACATCATCGGAAGCCGCGAACCGTTCCGCTCGACGAGCAGGATTGCGATTTCAAAATTAGACCGTCCCGCATTGTTAAATTTATAATGTCAAATTGAACCTAATTTCAATTGTTCTTAATTATTTCTACAAATCGCCAGGCACTGTGTTCTTATTAAATTTGATTCAAATTCAGTTTACTATTTACTAAGAATGTATATCTCGTTATGCATATCGCGGAATCGACCAATTCAAGAATTCAAGTTGAAAAACTATGGGTTGTATAACAGAATTATCACCTATTACTTAACAATTATATCCTTGTTACAGTACTTATAAGAACACACACAAGTTCTTTTATGTTCCCATAATTAATACTACAATTTTGGAGTCCTACAGTCTTGAGCGATTTGACGATCTCAGAAAACTGGCATTAATATATTTAGACATGGAATTTTGCGTAAATGTATAAAAAGAAATATTGTTCATTCTTTTTATTATTTATATAATTTCATTTTTAATTGCCCGACTAAGATTTGTTCTAAAATTTTAACATTGAAGATGATCATATAAAAAAGTCGAGGCGTTTGTTTTTTATGAGTAAATTCCAACGCGGCTCGAATAGCCCTGAACTTTGTTGTTTTGGAGCTAAACAATTCAAGTATAGTAATGGATTGATATTTACATTTTGACATACATTTAGTTAAAAATGATGAAATGTTATTTAAATTTAGGAATTGAGTTACCTTAATTGATTTCTAAGTGCATAATTCAGGTTTAATCTGTGCTTTTAATAATTAATATCCATTTTATTAACGTAGATTAATATCCACTGTTACATCAAAGAAACAACGGTAATTCAATCCTTTGAGTTAAATAATACTTTATTATTTTTAACTTGTACGTGTTTAAAATGTAAATTAATCCATTTCCGTGGTTAGTTTCAAAGTAAACTACG